ACTGGGCTTCAATGTCTAGACAATGGTGAGGATAGCACAGGACCAATAGCACAGGGTGCAGAATTGCTGTTCATAGAGTCACTGTGGGTCATGGTGCACTGAACGGCACATAACAAATACTGTAGGAACTTCATAGTTGGGCTGATGCCAGAAATAACAACAATTTGAACCCACCAGACATTGCAAGAGTCTCCTCCCATCAAGATTTACAGCCTTGGAATCTAATGGAGGTTTGACATGAGTTGGAGTTGACTCAGTGACTGATGGGAAAGGATCCATATTTGTTCCCATTCCCAAGAAAAGTGATCCAACAGAATGTGGAAATTATCAAATAATATTATTAATATCACATGCAAGAAAAATATGGCTGAAGATAATCCTGAAATGACTAGGTGAGTTCATGGATAGAACTGCCAAAAGTTCAAGCAGGATTTAGAAGAGGCACCAGGGATATCATTGCTCATGTCAGATGGATCCTGGCTGAAAGTAGTATCAGAAGAATGTCTATTCATGTGTATCCTAACCAACTATGGCTAATGTTGAGAAGATTGAGAATCCCAGGACACTTAGTTGTATGTGAAACCTAGACTGGCATGTTGTGCAAACAGCAAGAGAACTGCATATGTGTGAGGGTTATGTCAGTCTGGAGACTAAGGTGTACCTGATTGAGGATATGGTCTTGTTATACATTGGAGAGCTCGACAATCAATGTGAATGACAGAAGAATTACTTATGCCTTTGAGTTGTGTTGAAGAGTAATGAATATCTCTTGGACTGCTAAAATAAGAGATGTCTTCGAGAAAGTGTTGCCTTTAGTAGAGGCTACTCCTTGCAGAGGATTGAGAGGCTTAGAAAGATGGAGGGTCAGCAAAAGAGAGAATGACCCTCAGCCAGATGGATTGACACATTGACTGTGGCCATGGGCTTGAATATGTCAGAAATTACAAGGATGGCATAGGATTAGGACAGCTTTCAGATCTGTAGTTGCTGTAAGTCGTACTTGAGGTTGCTCTGAGTCTTGATGCGACCTAACAGCAGTGGTAGTGGGTTTTTTTAAAAAAATTTATTTCATTTATTGTTGTGTGCTGTCGAATCGGTTCCACCTGGCACAGGAGGAGATTTCACCTCCTTCTCCAGCGGAGGATCTGGTGGATTTGAACCGCTTGCCTTCGAGATTGCAGTGCAGTGTCTTGCCACTAGGCCACCAGAGGTCCAGTAGTGGGGTGTTTTGTTTTTTTTTTATTTTGGTTTTTCATGCTGGTTTGTGAAAACTTCCATGCACCCAGAGTATCCATGAGGTGTAAAAAAAAAAAAGTACAGAAAAACAAATTCACTTTGTCTTAGCTATAAGTAAACGTAAAGGTTTGAAAATCATCTGTGTCTGACAAACAGTTTTACGAACAGTATTCTAAGTATGAAAGTGAACTTTTTCCCCTTTTTTTTTTTTAAACCTGTTCATGAATATTTGTTGCTTAGGGAGATCCTCAGTGTGGTCCAGAAGTTTCAGAAAGTGTTTTTATTCTGAGGGTACAAGAGAATGTGAATGCGTAACTAAGACCCCAAAGTTATTTCCTGTAACCTTGGCTTTTAGCTTGAAAATGTAAATGTGACCAAACTCTTATCTCAACCAAAAGAAAACCTCCGTAAATGACAGTTGGAGTTAAGGGGCCTTTGAAGTCTGGGTGGTGCAGATGTTTAGGTGCTCTACTACTAACCCCATAGGTTAGCGGTTCAAAGCCACCTAGTGGCATCTTGGGAGAAGGGCCTGGAAGTCTACTTTTGAAATATCACAGCCATTCGGAATCCTGTGGAGCACAGCTCGGCTTTGACATGGGGTTGCCAGGGATTGAAATGATTATCAGTGATTTGGCCTTTGTTGTTTTTAAAGCAGCTGTGGAACAGTAGCTGTAGGCTTTCTGCTTCCCCATTACTTTTCCAAGATAAACTTTTTGCAGTGTGTGAATTTGAAAAAACCCAGCCAGAAGTTGAATGTTTACCTGAGAAAAAAGCAAGGACTTTATATTATTCTGCTAATGACTTTAAATTGTTCCATCAGAATACCTTCCCCACTGGCTCTGCTTTGATGCTAGTACTTACTATAGGGGAGGCGTATGAACATCATGCGGAGCCTGTGTAAGCTTTTATAATTTGGTCTGTATCCCTATGTAGATTCAAAGACCAAAAGACACAGTCAGTGTGGTGTAATTTAAAGGGAAATGGAGCAATTTGAGGATAGAGTTGATGGCTGTTGAAGTCTGATTGGACAATGCCCATAAGAAGGGTCCTTTCATATTCTTTGGTGCTTCAGAGCACCAGAATACTGGTAGCATTGTGTCTGATGTCCTTTTTTTTTTTTTCTTTTTCTTTTTTCCTCTTTTCTTTTTGAGGTTGAGTAGTATAACCTTAACAGCAAAAAAGTAATACAAATAGTTTCTTTTGCAGCAGCTCATTGACATCTGGTAACACAATGAAGGTCAATCTTTTCTAATGCCTTTTAAGTTAAGTCTGTAATTCTCTACCGTTTTATGTATTTTGAAGTACTCTGAGAAGACGTGCATCAGTCTCCACCGACCCCCACAGAGATTCATGATTCCAAAAAGACTGAGCCTATGACGTGTAGCATTAAAATGGACAGGCTGGGCCAGGGGTGGCCATTCACAGTCATCTTTGCATACCTCTGCCAGCGAAAAAGTCTTAGCCAGAATTTTACTTTGAAACAAGGTTTTTTTAATCAGCTTAGAACTTTATTTCTCTGGTAATTCTCCCTTGTTGATTTATTTTCAGGGAATCAACTAAACTTCTTAATGTTTAATGGGAGCAAATATCTCCTTCCATGTATTGCAGCCTCACACGGCTCTCCAGGATCAATATTCCTAGTAGCAGCCCCAGTGTAAATAAGTGCTTCTGGCAAGGAGCAAGCTTTCGATTTTAAACGACACTCTCTTTTATATACTTTATCATGGATGCCAACAGCTTTCCTCCCTAGTAGTTGTAAATGCTAAATCTTAACTTACCACTTCCTGTCAAGATGCTTCCTTCTCCTACAGAAGAGTCCAAAGGAGTAATTCACTTGTTGACCTGATTGCGGAGATGTTGCAGGCTTTCTGTCAGCATCACATAGACCCAACTGTAAAGATTTTCAGTGCCTAAACCAACATCAGCTGCCTAGAACATAAACAGCAGTTGGGATGAGGATTTGGGGGCTGCTGTTTCTTGTTAGGTGCCATCAAATGTAACTCATAATGACCCTATGAACAACAGATCTGAATCCTGTCCTTGGCCACTTCACAATCTCTGACATAGTTGAGCCCACTGTTGGAGTCACCGTGTCAATCCATCATGATGGAGTCTTCCTCTTTCTGACTCTCCACCTTTCCAAGCAGGTATTCCTTTCCAAGGAACAGCCTCTCCTAGCAACGTGTCCAAAGTATAACCTGAAGCTTTGCCATCCTTGCCTCTAATGAGTTCTATGGCTGCACGTTTTCAAGACTTTTTGACAGTCCATGGGATTGATACTCAGTAACTTGTTCTTAATTCCATGCTAGAGAATTGACAGTGATAAAATTATTATGCTGAGTGATATATCTCAGTCACAAAAGGACAAATACTGCACAGTGCCACTGTTGTAAAACAGGACTGACGGGTTGGGGGAAGGGGAGATTGAGAAAGATGGGATAAATTATGTATACTGCATTGAAACAGATGAGAGAATTGTTTAAAAGGTATATATGATTAGGTATTCTTGTCATGACATGAGTCCGGAATGAGGGCTGCATAGTGGAGTGGATTTGTGGGAAGGGATTGTACAACAATGAGAGAATTTTGCTTTTCAGAGAGAAGAATGAACTAGAGGGGAGGGGTGGGCAGGGAGAAAAGTGCAACAATGAATGAATGGAAATCGAAAATCTGTAAATTTTCATGAAAATGAACAATGAAAAAAATTTCAAATATTGATGTCTTCTAGATGTACTCAGAAAGTCTTACATGACTGAGAAACCATTTTCAGAGAAATAAAGGAAACTCGGCCTCTTTCACAGTTCGGGACAAAGAGGTCTGTGTCCCATAGACACTAACACACTCATCCAGTGATCCAGATCTCTGAGTGGTCTGATGGTAAAAAGAGGTGGTAGAATGAATTATCAATATTTGGGTTCAGTGTTTTTTTTTGTTGTTGTTTGCAGAAAATAAAGGTTTACTGTTTTCTTTGGGATATGTTCTTGAAATAGTTTATTCTACAAACCAAGTGTTGGTTTTTACACATGGCAACATTTATAAAGCAATTTTTTTAAGTTTCTTTTTAATTTTTTAAAATTGTGATTTGGTGTGTTTACAAAACAAGCTTGGTTTCCATTCAACAATTCATAAATATTTTGACTCATGACACTGACTGAAATCCCCACAATGTAACAGCACTTCTCCCAGTCCCCTCCTGTGTTTACTGTTTCCAGTTGTCCTTTCCGATCCCTTCCTGCACCCTGAGCTTTATCCCTCAGCAGATAGTACTCTTTAGATCATGTATGGTTTATTTTTCTAAAGACTGAGTACCTCACTGGTCTTAACGTACTGTTCTCCTTTGAAGCCTTTCAGTTGCTTAGCTGAAAGCTGAGCTGTAGGGCGGAGTTCACTTCCAGGCTTGAAGAGTGAGTAAGGGCCATAGTCTTGGGGAGGAGAAGGAAGGTACTCAGGCTTTCGCCCTAACTGTAACCACAGCACAGCAGCTTTTGTGTGCTTTCCCTTCAGTTACATTGGAGATCTTCAGGAAAATCCTGTGATGTAGGTAAGGAAATGATCTTCATTCTATAGATGAGGGAGACTTGATGCTTAGAAGAATGAAGTGTTGACATTTCTGCAGTAAGTTGCAGTGCTAGTACTGGAACATATGTCTTCTGACTCCTGGCCCGATGTTTTCTAAACTGCACTAGCTTTCCCACTTTGAAAATGAATCACAATGGCAGTTGTGCATATTCTATCTCCAAAGGAGGACACATTACTTCTTTGTGTCATGGTATACTGACCTCTAATTTTTTGCTTGATATTACCAAAGTGTTAAGCCTGCTTATAGAATGTATACCTGGGGAATGGTGAGGATTAGAAGAGCCCACAGTCCTTTAGATTTTCTTTAATGATGATATCTGTAACTGCATCAAACACAAACTTGACATTCTGCGTGTCTGTAGCACAGGTCATGTGACTGTAGATTTCTTTGACATCTTTTCGCATATTGAGGTCAAGGAACTGGTTCTTGATGTAACTCCCTGCATCCTCAAAAGAGTTGTTCCCTAGTTTTCCAGAAAAATAGTGAAAAAGGTGGGATAAATGAACACTGAGTTGATCACTATGTACAGGAGACTGATCTGATCCTCAGAATATAGTATTACGACAACTGCAGTTGGGGATCTATTTTCTGAGAGGAACAGGGTCTCCTTGTTTTCCCCTCCAGTGTTTCTCACCTGAGCTGATCAAAGAAACTGAGGGGTGGGGTCTTGCTATGTCTCTGCCCTTGGTTTCATACTATTTGAACAGTCTATAGTTGTAACACTATTCCGAGGATCAAATCGGTCTACAACAAACAGTTGATCTGTTCTAGAGACATCTGAATTTAAGTCCTGTAACGTAATGCCAAGATTTCTCACTTAAGGAAGCTTTGTTCATGTGTTCTTGCCTTACAGAATGAGGCCAGTCACTACCAATAAAGTATCACCATCATCTCTGGCTCTAGACACTTACCGTCATAGTCTGGAAAACAAATGCTGAGGTGCACTTTCTTGATTTTTTCCTCAAAGAGATCCTTCTTGTTGAGAAAGAGAACAATGGAAGTAGCCGCAAAGAACTTGTGGTTGCATATGCTGTTGAAGAGGTGCAAAGACTCATGCATCCGATTCTAGTAAGAGGAAACACCATCAGAAGCATCTGGGCTTAGGACTTCCTTGTCTACTTCTCATTCTTGTTGTGTTTGGAGAGCTCAATGCTCCAGATAGAAAAGGAAAGACAGAACATCTGGAATGGAGCCCCCAAGTGGCGGTGTTAAGTGCTCAATCCCTAACTAAAGGAGCAGCCGTTTGAACTACCAGCCACTGCATAGGAGAAATGTGTGGGATCTCTGTCCATAAAGATTACAGCCTTTTGTGGAGCAGTTCAGCTCTCTACAACAGAATCGTTAGGAGTTGAAATCCATTAGGTTTATAGTTTCCATTTGGTTCACGTTTGAAGTAGAACCAGTCCTCTTCATATTAGTGAAAGTTCTGTGACTTGGAGAAAATTATTGAGCTTTCTGAAGTTTCCCCATCTCAAGGATTAATAACGACTGAGAGTGACTGACATACGAGAAAAGAAAATGCAAACTAGTTGCCGTCAAGTCACTGTCTTCGCTGGCTCTAGGACACAGTGCAGATACCCCAGAAGGTTTCTAAGGCTATAATCTTTACAGAAACAGAATAGCATATCCTTCTCTGGCTGAGTAGCTGGTGGGTGTGAGCTGCTAGCCTTCAGTTAGCAGAGTGCTTAACCACTGCACCACCAGAGTTCTTTGGCATGCACGTGTGTGTACATAGTGTTAGGCATCTATTCAAAGCGAGGACACAGCTTAAGGACCGACATCTCAGGGCTGTTGAAGGGTTGAATCTGGGCTCTGGTTAGTATGTGCTTATTTACACATCCAGAATGATTTTGATGGGGCCTATAGTGTCCCAAGTCTTCATTTTGACATAAACATGGTAGGGACACGTTCTTGACACCACATAGAGCTAATGCATTTCCCAGTGCCATGCTACAAGCCTTTCTGCCTTTCATCTAAGAAAGAAAACAAATTTATACTGGCTCATTGTAAATGCTCCTTTAAGACTTTGTAAACTTTAGGAGTAAAAAGAGCAAAGATCAAGGCCAGTGACTAACCTTGTAAGACATTTTGGTCAGAAGGAATATTCAGAGTGCTTTAATGTGAACTTGAAAAAGGAGCAGAAGATGAGGGTGGAAGCTTGGTCTTTCATTAATAAACTGTAGGCTTCCAATTAAGACCATGAAATAGGGTTTTCCATGCCTTTGACATTGTATCTCAAGCTCAAAAAGCAACTGGCTGGGTTCTGACACTTGTCCTGTAGAGCTTCAGCCTTAAAGAACTCTACAGACTTGAGAACCGCACTCCAATCCCAAAGGCATGCAGTTTGTATCCACTGGCTGCTCCACAGAAGGACGGCCAGTCGGTACGATTTAATGCTCTGAAAGCCTGCTGGATGGTCAGCTATGAGTCAGTTCTGACTCCACAGCACACACAACCCAAAAAAGAAACATTTACAGATTTGAGAACCACCCTCAGGCAGCCTTTAGCTGCCAACTGAATTGCCAGGTGAGGAACCCAGTAAGCCAGTCTCTTCCTGACTATTATTGGCTGACATGCGTACATTTTTAGGTTTCTAAAGGTAGCAGTTCAACCATAGTAAATTTTTTCCTCTTCTCTACTATTTTAATTTCATACTCATTTCCACAGGCAGCCTGGAAGTGGAACTACTAAGCCCAAGTAGAACTCCTTTGTTTTGCACAGCTGATGACCTTTCTCCCTCCCTTCAGTATTTTACTTCTCTTACAGTTGAAGAGATAACCTAGTGATACGTAGATGTCTAAATCTGAGACCAAGCTCAATATCAAAACATCTCAAGTTCAACATAATAACCCAGAACCTGAGGAAGAAGAGATTTTTCTAGAATTGTTTGTACGAGACACTCTGCAGGAGCCCTGTTGGAGTGTCACTGCCAACTCACATCCACCAGGCAAGAACACTGGAGTAAAACGGCATAGAGAACACTCGACAGCCAGAACTTGTTCTGTGTGCCAGAACTGCTTGACGTAAAGTCACTCACCACCTCGTCATCTTCTACCAGCACCATGTCATAGGCACTGAGGGCTGCGCAGAAAATTATGCAGGTGACGCCTTCAAAACAATGGATCCACTTCTTTCTCTCCGACCTCTGCCCTCCCACATCAAACATCCTAAAGGAAGAAACCATCTTCATAGGCAAGCCCAATCGATAGCCCACAGCTCCTTGGTGTTTGCACTTAGGGAAGTATCTAGTCGGGCTCAGTTTCCATTGAGATGGAAAGAGGGAGTCATGGGAGAGTGATTCCAACTGGGCTTCAGCAGAAGCCAAAAAGCACAGTTGTGTCTATTTTGGGAATGCCACATGTGTATCAGGTGGCCCAGGGAACCGCACACCCACCTGAAGTTCAAGTCTTTGACGGAAAACTTGGTCTCAATGATGCCTGTGGTTTTCACTCTGGACCGTAGCACGTCTTGCTCATTAGGAAGGTAGTCAGGTGCTGTAATCCGGTCTAATTGGTTCAGATAGCTAGAAGAAAAGTGATTTGCATAGATGCCATGAACATTTCCACAGCCATGGCCCAGAGAGGTGATAGTCTGAATATCTCACAGCTAGTTTGGAGACAGAAATAGGACAGGGATCTCTATTACTAAGTTAGGGTTCAGTCTCTCATGTGTCCCTTATAAAAGGATGGGCTGAAGAGCAAACCTGTTTGAGGTAAGAATTTTCTCCCATTTAAGTCAGGTAACTTCCTTCGGGTTTGGCTGACTACAAGTTTGTCGAAGCCCTTGAATGAGATACAGTTTTATTGTTTGGTTTTCGGGGTCTTTTTTTAAGATACGTTTTAAAAGGATGCCGAAAGGTCCATCAAGAGCTGTGAGTAGATTAAAAGAGACATGAACGAATGACTTTGTTTGTGTCTTGAAGCAAACATGGAGGCAAGCACTTGAGACAGTGAAGGACATTTGCTATTACTAAAAAATTACTTGGTTTTTAGACATGGTTTCCCTTTGAAGATTTTGTTAGAGATAACTAAATCTCTAGAATGAAATATACTTGGTATTTGCCTCAAAATAATCCAATGGAAGAGGTAAAATGAAACATGGGTTGATAACTAGATTATTTAAATTTGACTTTTGTATGTATGACAACAATCTAGAACAAGGGTTGCACTGGAGGGAGGGGAGGAGAGAGAAATACAACAGTGGGGAAAAAGTCAATTTCTTATTAAAAACTTTAAAATATACCAAATTAATTTCTTTAGCCATTAGGCTATGATTTTAATCTGCTCATAGTTACTATAAACCTTGTAAAAGGATAAAACCTCATTTCTTAAATTATACTTTTGGATAGGTTTGAAGATTACCAAAAAAAATAATGTTGAAAATTTAAAAGGGCAGATGTGAAGTCAGCTGACTGAGAAGAAAAGGAAATTAGCACATCTGTCTGTGGTGTACCAGGCATTTTAATTTTAAATTCTCATAAACTTTCAAGTTTTATAACCCTGTTTTACAGATAGAAAAATTTAGACGATTTAAATAATTTGCCTAGGGTTTAGAGGCACTGTATATGGGAAAAAACCCAACAAACCCAACCTTTGTGGTCAAAACATACCTGACTTCAATTTCAGCCTCTACAACAGGTATCTGTATGACCTTGAGCAAGTTAATGAACTCCTTGGAGCCTCAGGTTTTCATTTATAACAAGATAAGATATACCAAGATGGTGTATGCAATGCACCAAGCAATGCCCAGGCCTTAGGGTGAGTGCTCAAGGTACAATAAATGATAATATTGTTACAACTTTAGGTGGCAGGAGGGGTTTGAACTCAAATCTCCAAAGCCCTGTGCACAGAGCCTTTTATGAGTGGTTCCTAGGTGCTGGTCAGTCAATTCTGACTCAACAACTCTGTTCAAGAAAATGAAACACTGCTGAGTTCAGCAGTTGAGTCAGTCCTTCTTAACTGTTTTTAATTATCTTTGTGGACTCACTACTAAAACTATGGATGAACCAAGCATGAAGTCCAGAGGACGTAAAACACTCCTGCTATCCTCTCTTCTAAGTATTCTAGCTCTATTTCCAAAATAGATTTGGCCATTCTTCTGATAGCCCATGGTATATTCAGAATTCTTTGCCAACACCATAATTCAAAGTCATCAATTTTTCTTCAGTCCTTCATTGTCTAGCCATGAGGTGATTGAAAATACCATGGATTGCACACCATAGTCCTTAAAATGACATTTTTGCTTTCTAAAGGCATTACAGAGATCCCTTGCCCAATGCAGTATGTCATTTCAGTGGATTGCTGCTTCCAAAGTGTGGATTGTGAATCTAAGTAAAATTAAATTCTTGACAATGTCAAAATTTTCTCCATTTATCATGATGCTCACTGGCCCAATTGTGAGGATTTGGGTTTGTTTGGGTTGGTTTTTTTAATCCATACTGACAGCTGCAGTCATTGATTTACACTAACTGCTTCAAGTCCTCTTCACTTTAAGCAAGCAAGGTTGTGTAATTTACATATTGCAGTTTGTTGGTAAATGTTCCTCCAATCCCAACGCTGCAGTTTCATATAGTTTGCCTTCTCAGATTATTTGCTCAGGCTGAATAAGGATAGTGAAAAAATTCAACCTTGATGCACACCTTTCCTGATTTTAAACCACACAGTATCCTTTTGTTCTGTTGGGACTTGCCTGCAGTTTACTGGATAATTAGCCCCACTCAGCTTTGTTCTGGGAGATGATTGGGTTTTTTCATCATCCTTGTCCACAGGTACAGTGTATTTGCTTTCCTGTGTATTCCATCTGGTGAGCTCTATGTATAGTCGCTGTATATATTGTTGAAAAACAGGCAATAAATAAATTGTTGGTCTTGGAAAATTCTACCATGTAGTTGCCATTGTTTCTGTCACAAAGGCCATAATCTTGCTCCTTGTTTCTAGCTTTTACATTTCAATCGCTACAGTTTGGATCAATACATTTTGATTGCATGTTTGGGCAATTTAATACTGCAGAAGTTGGTAAAAATATTGTGTTTTTTATTTAGCATTAGTTGTTGGTAGCATAGATTTGAATAATAGTCATGTTAACAGGTCTCTTCCTTGATAGGTGCTGTGAAGTCAGAACTGACTCATGGCTGACTCTCCAGTGGGTTTTCAGAAGCTGTAAATCTCATGCGAGGAGAGTCCTTGTCTTTCTCCCATGGAGCAGCTGGTGGCATCAATCTGCCTGCCTCTGGGTTGGCAGCACAACTCTTTACCACTAGGCCACCAGTGCTTAGGTGTAAGGTGTGTGGATATTATCCTTTCACTGGCAGTGTTATACTTCAGGGTAGTTCTTGAAATGTTCTTTTTGACACCATCTTCAAGTTTTTATACCTTCTATAGAAGACCATATGACTGACTATAACAGCTGATACTAGTCCATTTTAGTTCATTATTGCTTTTACCTCTATGAGGTAAGATTGGTGAACTCTAGGTCCCTTATCTTTTTTGGAATGAGCTTTGCGGATTGGTTCTTCCTCTGTTTGCACTGGAAGTTTGCATGCCTCTTGCCTTGACACCCTGTGGGTAGACAAGACTTTTGTTTCTGTTTAGTAACATAAACAGAACCTGAATTGTCAGCTAGAAAATTCCACCCTGAAGGGGGCATCATGAATCACATGCCACCCAGGACAGAATGTGGCAGAGCTGCAGGGGTATCTTGGTGTTGGTAGTTCTTAAAAGAGACTCAGTGTATGGCCTCATGAAAAGGACAGGAGCTGAGGGCTCCTAGACAGAGCACCTCTGTTTACGGTTCTGAATCATCAGTTTGTAAGTTACAGTCAGTCAGCCAGTGGAAGACAACACAGTGTTGGGAACTAGCAGGTGGTCCTATCTAAAGACATTGAGTTCAAACAGTGAAACACTGCTCATGGCTAACATAAGAAAAAAAGAGTTAATTCAGTAGATAGGTCTCCAGCTTTCAGTGTGTGAAATTACAGTGTGAGGTATTCTGTCTTCCCACAGTTATGTAAGCCTCTTCCCACCCGCCGTGGTCAGTCTTACTAAGAGGCGGAGTCATTAAGTTGGTACTCTGCAGCTCTTTCGAAGCAGGCTTGCACCCCGCCGTCCTTCCACAACTTCTTGATGACTTCTACCAGCTCCGGAGGCATGGTGCCTTCCTCAATGGAGTCTGCCAAGTTGTTGAGCTGTCTCCCGTCATCCTGTAAGGCAGAAATCTGGCTGAGAGCTATACACAGGTGATGACTGTCCAGGAGGCTTCTGGGAGTCCTCATGAATGGAACTCATTTTGCATTATTCCCATAGCCCAAGAAGGAGGCAGTCTCCAGTGAAGATATGATAGCATAGTGGATAATCTTTATGTGTTCCCCCAGATACAGAGAATAGCACTGTATTTAGCCCTGGGATACCCACAAAGTGCCCACATGCTCCCTTTCTGGTGTTTCTGTCTTCTAGCCAGAGTCCAATAGTGTACCTCCACAAAAGGCCCTCTGTGCAGAAAGACTGGAAGTTTAAAGACCAGCGTGATTATGAAATAGAGAAGACTGGAGACAGGAACTAATAATTTTTCTTCCCTCAATGATAAAAACCTAAAAGTCAATTCTGGAACTAGGGATTTAGTTTATAAAAGTTCCATAGCCAATGAACAGCTGGAAGGGAGTGGTAAAATAAGACAGAAAGACACAGGAGGTTGAGAAGAGCTTTTGAAAAGTACCCTAAAGGTACTGCTGTTATTGCCATCGAATCCGTTTCTGACTCATGACTCCATATGACAGAACCGTGCATCGTTTTCTCTGCTATAATCTTTACAGGAGCAGTTCTTTCTCTGATGGAGTCTGTAGGCAGGTTTGAACTACTAACCTGTCATCAGCCAAGTGCTTACCTGTGTCACCAGGGCCCCTTTATTATAATAAAGTTACACAAAGTGGCTTTTCTGACTCATTTCCCCCCTTAGCTTGATGACCTCTGGTCTCCTTTTCATCAGCCTTTCCTGCTTCCACCCTTAACCACATACTGCACGGCTGGAGTCAGCATAGTCAATGCCCAGGGTGGACATGGCCCGGATGATAGCCAGGATGGACTGCAGCACATTCCCATAGATGATGGACTTGAACTCCAGGCATTCTTCCTCGGTGTAGCCATCCTGGTGAATGATCCTGCAAAGGAGATAACCAGCCTCAGCAGGGCCAGGGTAACTAGTTCTAAGGGGCTGAGTGTCTGAGATTCAAAGGGTAATAATAAGAACCCCCTCTCTATTCCTATTGCCACCCAAATTAGAGGGATGGGAAGGCATGCAGGCAAGGAGTATTGGGAATCAGATCCTTTACATTTGGGTACCTTCAGGCTACCAAACTCGTCACCCTCGGGACCATACTGACTTCACCCTACCCCAGTTCTTGTGGGCTTTGTTCTTACTTACTTCATCTGTTTGACGATAGTACTCTTTCCTGACTCTCCAGCGCCTAGAGGGAAAAATGCATATGTTTCAAATTTCTATCAGCCCTCGCCAGCCTGCCAGTAGATGACCTCTGAGAAGCCTTGGATACTGCTTGGTTGGGAGCCTGGTCAGGGTAGAACGTAGGAATCACAGCTGCGTGCTAGCCTCGAGCCCAGACTTTCCACCTGGATTTAAAGCAGGGTTTCTTGACCTTAGCATTACTGACATTTTGGACTTGATAAAAATTTTTAAAGGGAATGGAATGGAATGGTTGTGAGTATTGTAAGATGTTTAGCAGTGTTCTTATGCAGAAGCTAGTAGCACCCACCTCCAGATATGACAAGCAAAAATGTCTTCAGATGTTGTTATATGTCCCCTGGGGATGAGAGTGGGAGCAAAATATGCTCCTGCTGAGATGTTGTGGTTACGTGCTGTCGAGTCACAGCAAACCTATGAACCTATGAATGGATCTGAACCCTATCCCATCCGGTGTCATTCTCACTATGTCTGATACACTTGAGGCCATTGTTACAATCACCATGTCAATCCTACTTGTTGAAGATCTTTCTTATGCTGAAACACCACTTTTCCAACCATTAGGTCTTTCTCCAAGGACTGGTCTCTCCTAACAACGTGCCCAAAATACATTAGACAAAGCTTTACCGTCCTTGCCTCCAAGGAGCAGCCTGGTTGCACTTTCTCCCAGACATAACTGTTTGTTCTTTTGGCAGTCCATGGGATATTCTGTTCTCTTCACCAATATCACAACTCAAAAGCATCTATTCTGTCATCTTTAGTCATTGTCCAACTTTCAGATGCATAGGAAAGAATGTAAATGACCATGACTCAAATAAGGTACACCTTAGTCTTTAAATTTACATCATTGCTCTTCAGCACTTTGGAGAAACCCTTCACATCAGATTTTCCCAATGCAGCATGTCTCTTGATTTCTTGACTTCTGGTACCAAACCAGTAAGGTAAATCCTGCTGAGATATATCAGGGAAGTTCTTTTGCTATATTTCTCCTTTGTGCCCATTTCTGACTGAGGAGAGTGGTCTTTTTGGTAGGGTTGGAGAAAGTGGAGTCATCTCAGTGAAATGGCTTCCTCATCATCTGGCTGGTTTCCTGTCTGAATTCATTCACTCTCCACTCCCCCATCTAAAGACCCGTGTACCCTTCCTCTGTCTCTCTTACAGACTATTCCACTCTGATGTCTCAACCTCCTCCCACTTAGCCTATGTTTGTTCCCTCTAACCTGCTTATCTGGGTCCTAGGAGAAAGCAGCTTAGGCTTAAGAAATCTTTCAGTGACATCTCAGTTTCCCCTTCACCTTTCCAGGCACTAAACTCTGGGGCTACCGTCAGAGGTAAGCTCCTTTTAGTGTGTCCTTAGAGGGTCGTGTGCCAGCCTGGAGCTGCAGATCTAGACCTCCAAGCCTCTACACAGCACCCATCTGCTCCAGCTAGCCTATCTCTGGAGTACTAATTTTTTCCTCCCAATCTGGGTATCCCAAGCTCTTCTTTGTCTTGGTTCTATTTACAACCACGATCACTTTCCCAGCCTGATAACTGAAGTACTTTTCTTTTCTTGGCACAGATCAGTGATCAGCTTAGGAGCTCATCAAGGTGATCAACCTCCCATCTGGCAGGATCTTTCGAGGTAGCTAGGAGGGTACTGCTGAGAAAGCCGTTATTCCTCCCCTCTCAGAGCCACCTGCTTCCAAAGCTTTTATTCTGCTAAAAGCAAAGAGAAAGAACCATATTCTCTGACTGTATGGTGGGACTTCTGAGTCCACTGGTGAAGGAAGGTCCTGCCCTCTTGTGACTGCTAGGTTCAGAGTTCTCTGCCTCTCTTGATGGAGTAAGCATCTGCAACCCAAGGTTCTCAGTATTTATCAAGCCCATGGGAATTGATAGGTTTGGTCATATTTGGAGATTGGACCTTGCACTACCCCTGGTTGAAGAAAGAGCAGAAAATTTCATAGTAGGGTTGGCATTCTGGATCACCTTGAGGTGGCTGTGCAGACTCCACATTGATCCGGCCTTAGAGCTCCCAGCCCGTTAACCTAACCCTGAGTAGGCATCGGGAACAGTGAACCCCCACCCCTCCTCGTCGCAGGGAGAGCTGGAACCCAGCTACCATCTGGGATGCGCAGGAAGGAATACAGGGCCTCTCATCTTTCCCCCTCACTCACCCAGCAAGAGCAGCTTGACGGTCTTGGCTTCTTTGTCAGCATCCTCTTGCAGCTTCTTTTCTAGCTCCTTGGACCTCTTGGCCAGTTCTTTGTCTTCAGCGCTGGCTCCACTCCCCATCCTTCTGCCGTTTCCTTAGCTGCTTTCTCTGGCTCTTAAACTTCACTTCTAGAGTTACCTATATGTGTGTTTAAAGACAAGGGGGGGTGGGGTGGGAAATAAGTTGAGATAAAGTATCAGCTCCTTAGCTCTCCACAACTTGTCTATGAGGGCCTAGGCGAAGGAACTCTGACTACTTTGCTTGAGACTCTAGCCCATCTGGAAACCTGCTTCTTAGCCCAGGGATTGTAGTCTTTATACCCAGCAGTGTGATGGGTCAAGCTAATTAAGAGCTCAGTACGACAAAGGTCAGATTCAAATATCTGTGTAACTAGGGAAATTATCTGCTTGGTTTTGACACACAGGGCTAGGATGGGGGGCTGCTAGGCCTCTCTGCAATAAACTAATGACTGCCCCCATCCTTTTGAGGGGCTCATTCCTAAAAATTTCCTTGGATTTACTTCAGTTTTTAAGCTGAAAATTAAGGCCACAAACATAGGACGTGCTCCCCTGGATTAGCTCTCCAGCTCATAGATCTTGGTTTAAGTGCTTCCTCCCTTACAACAAGATAGTCTTGGAAAAGAATTTTTGTTTCAGGTGGCATCAGGGAGCTCTGGTGGACACACACACACACACACACTTTCACTCACCTCTTCCACCCCGCCCCCAGCCCAAATGTTTCTCCCAGACTCTGAATTCCTCGCGCTGGATAACAGGTGTTCTATCTGACTGATCATTCAATCTTTTACACTTTACGGCTTATTAAACCAAACCCACGACTGCTGAGTTGGTTTCAGCTCATGGCAAGCCTCCATCAGGTTTCCAAGGACATAAATCTTAATCAGAGGAGCCTGCCCATCTTTCTCCCGAGGAGTGGCAGGTGGATTAGAATCCCTAACCGTTAGGTTCACTGTCTCGCGTGTAATACACTAACTATGCCACCATGACTCCTTGTAGTTTATTAGGATTAGGGTTATTAGGGGTCCTCAGTGAAAGGTTTGTTATTGTGGTTTGATGTACCATTAAGTTGGAACTGACTCATAGCTGACCCTCCTGTGGGTTTTCAGAGGCAGTAAATCTCATGGGAGGAAGTTGTCCATCTTTCTCCAGTGAAGCAGCTGGTGGATTTGAACTGAGTGCCTTTAGGTTGACAGCGCAACTCCTTGGAGCTCTGGTAAGAAGCTGCGCTCCTAACCCAAAGACATGCAGTTTGAATTCACCAGCTGTTCAGTGGGTGAAAGATGGACAGTCCCCTCCCATGTGATTTACAGGCCCTGAAAACCTGCTGGTGGATCAGCTATGATTTGGTTATCCCTCGATTATACGTAACAACAACAACAACAACAAATGAAGGTTTCGTGAATGAAAAAAATAGGGCTTGTTGTAGATAATGGGACTGCATCATAAACCCACTTGCTCACTAAAACCCAACTTTACATGGTAATTGAACTTTGCTGGTGTCTGTGCCAACTCACAAAACAAGCTCTGCTTCCTCGGGAAATTGGAATCCAGGCTTTGGCTCCTCTGAGGTCCCTCTGGCACTCCTCTCAGCTGCTCATTCCTAGGGAGGAATGAGAACGCAGTCTAGCGTCTGCCTCACAGATAAGGAGGACGCCATTGCTCCTATTTCTCTATGCCAATTATTTCAGTCTACTTAAATGAGTGGCGTTTTTCTTAGGTAGAAATACTTTGGAACTTTGCTACTCAAAATGTGGTCCAAGTACCAGCAACTTTAGATCATCTGGAAGCTCGGCAGAAAGGCAGAAGCTCAGGTCTTAGCCCAGATCTTCTGATTTGGAATCAGGTCCCGCGTAATTCATAATGACACTAAAGGTTAGAATGTATTTCTCTAGGGAACTGTTTTTCCGCATCCCCAAATGTGCCTAGTAATAAAAATCATCTGAAATGCTTTTGCATTTTATCTAATTTTATACCATTGATTAAAATATGTATCTTATTTTAAAAAACTTCTTAGGGCAAAGATGGGCAGTCACGTCCAAGCACATATATAGGTATATGTTTATGTTTATATATACATACATTATATACACATACATACATATATACATACACACATATATACACACATGTATATATATACACACATACATGTATATATGTATATATAAAATTTTAAAAAGTATGTTTTATAACCTTTAAATCCTGGTAACAATACTAATTCCAGAGCCTGAGAAACTGTATTTTTAACTAATATGGATGATTATCATCATTTGGCAAGTATGAAACACGATTTAAAACAGTGGTCCTCAACTTTTGATGGACGCTGGAATTTTTCTGAGGAGACTTGTTTTTAAATACTGAGTTAATTAATCTGGAGAGCAGTCCAGGCCTAGGGATTATTTTTTAATTTCTCCAGGTAATTCTAATGTGCAACCAAGGTAGAGAAAATCTAGACAGAAGGATTCCATTTACTCTTCCCTTTTAGGGCTGGTTTTGTTAGCAGTGGCCATTTGGACTAAGTGAAAGGCAGAACTCCTACTATCAGCTACCAGGAGCCATCACTTATCAAATCATCTTTCTCCTCTCAGCCTCATGTCTGGGTGTCTAGCCAGGAAACCCCAGGCCTGCAGCCTAGACTATTGGAGAATTGGACAGAACAGAGGTGCCTTCCATGGTGATCAAATGCTCCCAGTCAGGAACTGGCAAGTGCTTACTGACTTAAGGAAAAACAGGAGTCTGTCTGAAATGGTGACTGTCTTAGAATCTTGGCTATCAGGTTTCAGTAATTATACCTCAGCACCAGCCCTGGCTCACATACCCACATTATTGGTAACTTACACCTAAGCCAGAACTATGCACAAGACTGCAGTGTTCAGAGCAAGGGGCCTCCAGAAACCATGCTAGACCATTTATATGGATCATACCAGCTAATTATCACAACTCCAAGGTAAGGGATGTTGCTGTTATGTGCCATTGATTCAGAACCAACTCATAGCTGACCCTTCAGTGGGTTTTCAAAAGCTAAGCGCTGAACTGAGGAGGACCTCATGCACTTACTGCAGAGTGTCAAGGACTGCAGCCTTCAATATGGACTGAGGCTCAATGTCCAGAAGACAAAAATTCTCACCACTGGACCAATCGGTAGCATCAGGATGGATGGTGAAGAAATTGAGATTGTTCACAGCTTCAGTTTGCTCGGCTCCACGGTCAACACTCTTGGCACCAGTAGCCAGGAAATAAAAAAACGTATTGCGATGGGAAAGTCTGCGGTGAGGGACCTCTCTAAAGTACTCAAGAGCAATGGTGTCTCTCTGGAGACTAAGGTGCGCCTGATACAGGCCATGGTTTTTGCAATCACTTGTTATGCATCAGAGAGTTGGACAATGACTAGGGAGGATAGAAGGAGAATTGACACCTTTGAGCTGTGGTGCTGGAGAAGAGTACAGAATGTGCCATGGACTGCCAAGAAAACAAATAGATTCATCCTAGAGAGGGTTAAACCAGGCTGCTCCTTGGAGGCAAGGATTCTGGGGCTTCACCTGACATACTTTGGACATGTTGTAAGGAGAGACAGGTCTTTGGAGAGGGACATCATGCTGGGCAGAGTGGAGGGACGGCGCAGGAGGGGAAGACCCTCTATGAGGTGGATTGATTCAGTGACTGGGGTAATCGGGATGTATGTGTCAGAGGCAATGAGACTGGCACAGGATAGAGCAGGGTTTGGGGCTGTTGTACATAGATAGGGTCGCTATGAGTCGTAAGCGACTCGACGGCACATAGCAACAACAAGCTGCATAGCAGGAGACTGTCCATCTCTCGCCCCTGGAATGTTTGGAGGGTTCAAACCATGTGCCTTTGGGTGGGTCATCAGGGCAATTCCTTAGCCACCAGTGCTCCCTTACTTAAGGGCTAGGTTTCCCAATGTATAGACCAGATAACAGAGGTTTCTTGTTACTAGGTTAGGGAACAGACAAGCCAAGTCTGTCTGATTTTCAGGGTAGCTAGTGGTATTTCCAATCTCCCCATCTAAGTAGCCAGTGAAAAGAGACAAATGCATTCACTCAGTAATGGCAGCACTGGCACGAATCTGTTTCACACACAGGAAAATGTCTGAGCTTGTTCTCTTTTCAGTTACCACCCCTGCAAACTTCAGGGTTGCTTCTGCTTCATGTCCTAGCTTACGGGCTGGAAGTTCCCCATTCTCACTACTAAGAAAGTGAACTCCCGGCTGTGGGAGTGGGCCTGGCCTCTGAGGGCACAGGCCCACTCCTCTGCATGCACCATCCTGATGCCAGTGTCTCTTGCCTCTTGCCTTCAGTTCTTATAGCTGCTCTGCCTCCCTCTCCCAGGGAAGACATCTGAGTATTTGAGGACAGTGTCCTGGAGAGGTAGGGAAGGAATGTGAATGCTTGGGAAGTAAGGGAATTGAAGCACAGAAAAGTGGTCCCTTTGTTAATAAGCAAGTTTGTGTATAAAGCAGAGCTGGAGTTCAGACATCCTGATTCACAGCTATAAACTACATGATTTTAAGAGAAGTTCATTTCCCAGTGAATTTGGGGCTACTTCTGGAAGGGAGACCTCTGGATATCTCTTACCTCAGAGATACGAGCTGTGTTGGAAAGCCTTGTCCCAAACTGAGTGCAAGGATGTGAAGAATGAGGCTCTGCCTTCAGAACCTTCACATCCAGAGGAGGAGGTGGAGTAAATTCACAAGAAACAATTTGACTAAAGGGAACACTCTGCTAGTTCTGGGGAATTCAGAACTGTTTAAAACCTGGCCTCCACCCCTAGTAGAAAAGGCAATTATGTACACATCTCGCTACCAGCCTGATGAGTTCTTTGGTAGGAGAGAGGGGGTGATTGTAAAATGAACAGCATTGCAACAGGAGAGCTAAAATGAAGGATAACCGGGGGTTGGGGGGCAGAAAGAGCATGAAAGAAGTACAAAGCCCTCCCTCAAAGTACAAAATGTGCTCAGGAAAAGAGTGAGATGTGCTTGGAGAAGAAAGGGACACTGGGGCCAACTAGTGGAGGGCCTTGAATGACAAGCTAAGAGGTTT